TAGTTGCTGTGTTCCCTGACCTCGAAGCCCGCTTCTTTTCGAACTTTCTCTCCAGTATAGCCGAGCCTCTCGGGGAAAATCCCCTTGGGGAACCGTGAGACACCCATGAACCGCGGGTGCGCGCTCGCGCGCGGGGGGTCGGGACTGGACGCTTCCCGGCTCCTCTGTCCCTGGAGGGAGAGAGAGAGAGAGAGAGAGAGAGACCTCGAATTGCCCCGGAGAGTGGTCTTTTCCGTCAAAAGCGTCATAGGAGTTCTTGTCTGCGGTTCAAATAAGAATAGTAATAAGAACAATCGTAATAACAACAACCGCAGTAATGATAATAACAATAATACGAAGAAGAATAACAATAATAATAGTAATAATAGAGCCTTCAGTGCAAAGGACTAGGTCGCCGTACCCACGAGGTGCCCACAGTGGTTTGCGCACCCGGCGGAGCTCCCGGTGTGGTGCAGCTTAGTCCCGCTCGCGCCCCCTGCATGGAGATGCCGCCTCTATCTATTTCTATATATGTATATATATATATGTATATGTATATATATATATTATAAATATGTATGTATGTATGTATGTATATATATATATATTGTTATAGAAAGACAACACTTTACTGTTGTGCTTCCAAGCAGGGGGAATCTCGGGCTGGTACAGCGATCTCAGAATGCGGCGAAGAAAACGCGCTCAATCCGAAGCTCCCCGCAAATTTGGGGTGCACATCGTCCTCCACTACATGTCGTGAGCATGGTTTTTTTGGGAGCCATGCAGAGAGTGCTCCTGGAATGGGTCGTGAATATGTGCTAACACTAGGTGCTTCGTCGCTGTTTGAGGTCTACACTGGCAGCAATACATCAGTCCTCTTCTTGCTGCTGTCGCAGCCAGTCTTGTTGGTAATGTTGTCAGCTCACCCCTCGGATGTAAGATCACACGCTCAGATGTGCCGGGGCAAGCCTGGAATAGAACATGGCCTTCGATCGCACACAGCCGCCGCAGCCTTGTAGTGGTGCGGCAAACATGCGGGTCGTGCTGCAGAATGCACACCGGCGCGCATCGAACATCTAGAGTCTGAGAGGGCCATGTGCTGAAGCTTAGAAGTTCGAAGGTTGGCCGTTTGGAAACATCCTCAGGTCGTGTTGCAGACCGTTCTGGATGTGCTGCCGTTAGCATACTCTACTCCCGAAAACTCATGAACCCTCAGCCACGGTCCTTTCCACCGTGAACAGCCAGCTCGAGCGTGAACGGGTCATAGCCACCTGGCATGCTCTGGTTCCTACGGTTCCGACTCTCACGTTCCACAACACAGACAAGATCACGACAAGCCAGGCATCAAGTCGAGAGCTGCAGGTCAGCGCAAATCCCAAATTAAGTCTCACCGCGTTCATCTGTAACTCGGGACAGCCCTCCAAAGCACCAAAGCTCAACCTACGATACCCACAAGCCAATTTGAGACTCACTTTTCTGCAGGTCATGTCGAAGCCAGTAGCAGCTAGTGCATATCGGGAGGAGATGTACAGGTTACACTGAGCATAGCGATCCTTCCGAGACCACACAACTTGAAAACTGTCATGCAGAAATAACTAACTCCGAATAATTAGAGCACTGGCAGCTCGATGAACAACTGGGTTCTTGTTACGGAGCTGGGTTCAAGTTACCCAAAGCAAGGATCTTTCGTAGATGCTATGGTTCGCTCACTAACTTTACTGTTTACACCAACTCGTCAACAAGAAGCCAGAATTCTTCAGATGGACGGGCTAGACCGCTTCCAAGGTCAACCCGGTTTGCTGAGGATCCAGACTATTCGGAAGTGTACCGGCAAGCCACGGGGCACGAGACCTATAGTAAGAGCCTTCATACGTGGAACTGTGTTTGCGGCTCACGTGACACGGCTAGCAACTGTTCAAGCCCTGTTAGGAGCTTCTAGAGTGATCTGTCTACAAAAAACAGTCTGAGCCTGTGGTTCCAAAATATGGGATTGGGCTCTTGGGCCGTTGGATTTAGGGTTTAGGCATTAGCGCTATAACAGATTGCAGGTTCAGGGTTGTAAGGGGTTGGAATGGGTTATGAGGGGTCGTTAAGTGTCAACATGTGGCTATTGGGTGTGTTGCCGCAGTTCATACACGGCTATACAGGCCAATCTCAATGGCTTGGGATTTATCTTAATCTTTCTCTTAGTCTTTCGGCACGGCACTGCCTGAAGGCTGACCGGGCGGCTGCAAGGCAAGAATCCTCAAAGCCCAGTCCTCCTTGGAGAAGATGGCAGCTTGTGAGCTGGTTTGGGAACGCACATTTCGTGCTCCAAGCCAGGCCTTTCTGTCAAAAGGGCTGCCGGATACCTCCCCGGAAACGCTATGAAAAGCAGCAAACATGCTTCGGAGCATCTGCTCTACAAAGTCAAGGAGGTGTTGCTGAAAAGTCAACCCCTCCTCTTTACCCCATATCACTCGGAACCACTTTGCAGGGAGGAACATGGAAGAGGACAACAAAATTGGCCGGTCGATGCATCTCTCGAGGTGGAGATGCCTGCCACACACAACTACACTTCGGAGAACCGACGTGTTGGAATGACGTTCAGCCCAGAAAAGTTCCCTTTCATTCGTCTTTGGGCTCTTCCTACACCAAATAAAACATTGCCATGTTGGCGTCCTCGACTGCTACTGCAAGGGTATAGGGTCAATTGTACTTGTGTGCTGGATGCTACATAGCAAGCTACGAGCAAGGGAACTTTGGAAAACAACATGAGGCCACGGCTCTTGCCGTTCCTGAATGTGGAAATGCGCTAAGCACCGGCACAAACATGGATAACCTGCAGAAGGTCAGCCATGTTGGCGGAACCGCACAAAGAAATACTGCTGGCAGCTAGGCTATTGCATTGAAGGTTCAAACCGCTGCATGACAAACCCAACTCTGAGCTACATAAGAGATCATATCAAACGCCCAGATAATGTCGGCAACTCCGTTCCGAAGTCAACCGTGACCTGTATTAACAAGCTTGCACAGACGCAGCTGGAAAATGGAGCCGCGGCTCCGCACTGTGGCTGCACAGGATGCAAACGTCAACACCATGCACACCGGCATATACCATACCCGATTCTGCTCAGACCCAAGCCTGGCCAAGACTGTGCAACAACAACGAGCTCATGCCTCGACAGAACGCGAAACTGCATCAACACCTGACAGTGAAGGAACTATGCACACCGTTTCGGCTGAAACACACGCGCACACACACACAGAGACATACCGTCAGGGCTGTTTCTGCTCAAATGCCAGCCCCTGCGGCAAGTCTGCGCCGAGACATGCTTGGCAAGAGCGAGGCACATCTCGCCTGCAAGCTGCCGGCCAGGAAATCACGCCGACGTCGGCGAAGCACCGCAAGTCTGAAGCCGCGCTTGTCCTGCTGCATGTCCTGCAGGTACTGGTCCAGGTATTGCACGTATAGCTGGTGAGTTTTCCCGTCCGGGGCTCGCGGCACATGTTCAGGCAGGTCGGCAAAGATGCCTCCTGAGTCCAAAGAAGCGCAGAAATACGAGGATTTCGAGGGCGGCGAAGGCTCCGGAACCATCTCTGGTGAGTTCGTGCCGAGAGCTTGCGAGTCCATGGGAGTGGAGGGTGGGCAGGTCATGGACATGCCAGGTGAGCCCGGCAGGTGTATCTGCCCTGCCTCAAAAGCGCTCTCAGAACATGGCTCCAGGTCCACATCATCCCTTACCTCCTCGGGTTTCTGAGGTGGTGGCAGGCTCACCAAACTGTGAGCGAGCATGAAGGCCGGGAAGTCAGGACGTCGGGGTGTGTTCAAAAAACCTGGGCTAGGCTCCTGAAGAGTCTCAGAGTAATATTAGTGCATCATATCCTAAAACAAAATATGCCAAGGCCCACCTAGGCACAGAGTTCCCGTGCATCATAAGGACCTTGCACACTCCAACCTTCTGCCCGACGTGCGTGCTTCGCCATTGCAGGTTTCATTGGGCGGCTGCGTCGCCGAAGCAGCTGGCCCCACAGCAGCGATAAAGGAAGAAGAATCGGTGACTAGGTCGCTTTGACTCACCGTGGTTTAAGACTTAGCTCTAGAATGACCAAACGATTGTTGAAAACTTGACCTGCTGGACCCCGCTGGACTAGGCAAACTCTTTTTTTGAGGCCAAGCCAAATGCTGCGATTTCAACCCTAAACTTAATGCCTATATCCTCCTATATCCTACACTCTAAGCTCTTAAACCTTTTCCACAGGCTTGAACTGAGTTAAGAGCTAAACCCTAAACTCTAAACCCCTTTTTTACGCTAAGCCCGCTTCACCTTGATGAAAGGAACCAGCATCTGTAGACCCATCCTGCGTTTTCGAGCGGGGAGTCTAAGCCTAAACCCCTAAACCCTAAACCTATTCCAATCCTTGAAGCTTTGATGCTCTCTGCCCTTACAAGCCATATAGTAAAGCCTTTCAAACCCCGCAAAAGCCCTGTCAAGCCCAGCCAAGCCCCATAGCAAAACAAGCTAAAAAAAACCTTTATTAAGCCCTGTAAGACCCCATCAACTGCCCTGAAAGACCCAAACCCCACAACTGACAGCTCCCTGCCTCGGTGAATGCCGAGCAGGATTCCGTCTGCGAAGACGGCACACTCCCAGTCGCACCTTGGGTTTAGGGTCTAGAAGGTGAGTTTTTGTTTGGGGGGTTTAAGGTGGATGTCAGAACGTGGGTTGCAAGGGTTCGTAGCCTGGGCGTGAACCACACCCCCAGTGCTTCTAGCACGTTGGGCTTACTTCTATACACCAGATAATGTTGGCATGGCATTGCTGCTGGGCTGCGGTTTTGTGTATTTCCTGCAGCTGGTGAGGCCTGTAACGGCTTGCCGGGCCTTTGCAAACGAAAAGCGGGCTAGCCAACAGGTTGGAGGGGACGGCAAGCTACCCAAGTAAAAAGCACTCAGCGGTGAGCCCCGCCACCGGATAAAGGAAATGAGCTTGAAAAGCATGTGCTTCAGGGTAGCCCAGACCCAAATACGTTTCGGTGCGGGGGTGATGCCATGAAGCTGCTGGATGCACTTGTGCATTCGGCCAAGGGACGCATCCATATGCAGCAGCACCTCCAGTGTATCCAAGGTTTTGCTATAATTGCACTCGTCGGTAAGGGTAAGACCTTTTGGGAATCCTTGAACTAAGGATGAGACTTAGACTGATGGAAGTCGGCTGTCAGTTTGCTTTCGGTTGCAGGCTCTTCTTGGTGAATCTTTTTTGCAACAGGATATCTGTTCGGAAGTCACCGAAACCAAGACCCACTTTGTTAAAGTCAAGACATGTACATAGCTTCCTTGCTTAGCTTCGCTCAATTCAATGCCAAGAGGTTTGGAAACATACCTACAAACCTAAGCTCGAAAATCTTTGCCCACGTCAGTAGCGAACTTGCTGAAAGGCGGGATGCACGACGTCTCTAAGCCCTCGTCACTATGGATCGCTAGTCTTCTGCCCTCAAACGCTCGGCTGGCTGGACCCAAGAATAAGCACAATAATCATAGTAGTACTGATATACTCACAGAAAATAAGAAGAATCACAATAATACTATTAATTAATAAGACCACAAATCAACCATCATTGAAAAATATCATAGTTGCAAAAAGTAAAACAAGAAGAGGTGGAACAAAGCTCTGAGCCCTGAAATGCAAGTCCCGAAGCTTTAGGGTTCTCTAGGTAGAACTCTAGTCTTCTTGGAGATCGCTAAGACTACCTATACTGAGCAGATCTTCTATCAAATTATTTATCTGTACTTCCGAATTTCCTCAGGGTTACAAACCATCCCCAAAGCTGACAAAGGGGCCCTCTGCCAGTGCGACGGCAAAGACACCTCTCGCCGAAGCCAAAGCCTTGCTCGGCTGTCGATTCTTGAGGGGCTTGGGGTTTAATTCGGGCTTCCCTAATACCCAAACCGGGGTTAGTTAGGATTCCAGATTCAGAGCGATATGCCAGAAATCTGGGCAGTCTGAGCAGGGACGCACGGTAATGATGGCACAGAGGGCGGCGGAACGTGTCGGCGCAACTTGATTTGGGGTTCACGACTGCAAGCACTTGAGTATCAATTTGTCAGCGCTGAAGGTCTCAAAACTCGCAGCCCCAAAGATTTCTTTATAGGGGTGGGTCCTGGGTGTTGCTCGCCCTCCCACCCTGAGTTGAACCCTTTCTGCCGCAGGTTTGCAAGCAAGAGCGCCTGGTAGTAAGCCACTCGTCCGCAAGTTAGCACTGTGAATTGAACCCTAAACCCCAAACCCCTGGTAACCCGGGGCCCTAAACACTAAAGCCGCCTTACTGACCCTGAGCCCCAAATCCTAAAGCCCTGACAACCTATTCAACGTATTTGCGCCTGAGAGAGCATGAAGCAAAAAAGGCACTGCTTGACCGTTATTTACTGGCAGACCGCCAAAAAGCATCATAATACAAAGACGATGTAACAAAGATGCACACTATAGCTAATATGATATAACATAATCGAATACAACAGTAACACAAGCACGAATTATACGGCCTTGAACAGCGTGAGGTTGACACGTCTTCCCCGACAGACAAATGGAGAAAGCCACACATCTTCGCATCGGAGGCAAAAAGCAAAGAAAACACTGTGAAATTACTCAAGACTAACAGTAAGACAAGCCACACGTCTTCGTCTGGGGGCCAAAAAGCGAAGAACACAAAGTGAAAACCAGGCAAACCGATCGAACAGCCGGGGAGCAGCTCATATTCGGAGATTCGGCGCTGCAGCCCACCCCTGTGTGATTCAGCCGGGAAAGGCACCTGCAAGCGGAAGTGTTCAGGTGCCACTGCGTGTCAAGCAGGCTAAGCTTATTCTGCAGCGGTTTCGCAACCAAGCGCAACCAGTCTTAGGCTCTTGGTTGCCTGATGATGCAGTTCAGGGTTTAGGGTCCATAAGCTATAGAGGTTCAGGCTTTACAGGCGAGGCCAGACCAGAAAACAAGTTAATCGGACCTCGACGAACCCGTCCTCAAAGTCCTCCGGCGGCATCTCCTGAGAACGCTTGGTGTGCAGGGTTTGGGGCTTAGAGTCAGTATGACTTCATGATCTTGCTCAAGGTAACGGCATCCTCCACGCAGACATACACGGCAAGCAAGGAGCCCAAATGTTGTTCACACGGGTCACTCCGGACTTTTACAGTCGTGCCCATTCCCCATTAATCGCGTGAAGGTTGTGGATGGTTCCAGGGGAGACTGATGCACACAGCCATGGGTACCGGGTTTGAAAAAGTCACCCGACCAGGTGTCGGCAGCGTCCATCCGCGCGCTGTGCAGGCACGGAACTGTGGTATTGGCTGGGGAAGCCTGGGCACCAGCTCCAGCTCCGTAGACCCGCCCGCAGCACCACAGCAACGTGCTCTTGCAACAACCCCATTGGGCGGACTGTCCGGGCCAGCATCACCAGCTGTCAGCAAGATGCAGCAGCAGCAGCCACCTTGTGAAAGGAAATTGTGGCAGGCAGGCCTGCTACACGGCCAGGATTGGCATGCAGACTGCATGCGCGACGGCAGATCCCGTACCCATACTATCAGTGTAGGCAGCTGGAGAAGACAAGAAAGCTACATATCCTGGAAGTGTCGGGTGCCTCAGGGTGACTTTTGTTCAGCTTTCGGTAGAACTGTCTATGTTGCGTAGAATGAGAATGTGCAGCAGGCCTTCTTCTGGCATCGCTCCGTGTCAATGGCCAGGCTAAAGATGCCAACCACACAAAACATCCAGCCATCCTAAAGCCCAGACAAAAAAAGTGCTGAGCATCGGCGTCCTGATCCCTCGTGCTGATGTGCACGGACCACTTGCCGTTCCTTGGGCAGTTGGGTTCGGGTGCTGGCACAGTGGAGAATGCAAGGCGAGCTGTATTGGAGTCTACCAGTTCAGGGGACGAGTGCAGGTAAGTTGGGGGGCCAAGCCCTGATCTCAGACTGGGTTTAGGGTTTACTGTTTAGGTAGCATTGAGGAAGCTGAGGCAGCTGGAGATTTGACATGGTACTCCGGAATCCTGAACCCGATACCCTAAACCCAGCATCTCGCCCGGGTGCGCTTCCTTTTCCGCGACCTACGAATCCTAACTTTAGACCGCACTTTTGCAATGCAAACAGGCTCTGGAGGTTTTATATGGATCTTTATGTGAATATTGTCTTCAAAGGGTGCGGACAGGGTGTAGTAGGATCTATGCAGTAGGGCTTCTCAGGGGATTGTGCAGGCTGTTGGTTTTTGTGGCATGTCATGTCATAACGAAGCCGGCCCAGAAAACTCTCCGACTGCTTCCAAAGTGTCAAGCTGTGCCAAGCCGTGGATCGCTTGAGATGAGGCCTATGCTGAAGACTTCCGCAAGAAGCCGGCTCTGGCTTGGCGGGGGTTTGAAAATCAGAGTTCTGAAAGCTCCACCCTGCGCCTCTGCAGGTCATGGCTGGTATTCAGAGCCCTGAAGCCAAACACTAAAGTTAAACCAAACACAAGAGCTGCTGTAGCAGTAACACTGGCGACTGTAACCCTCACCTCTCTGCACCCTAAACCGTTGTAATGGTAAGCACTCCAGAATCACCAATTGGCGAGTTTCACGACATTCGGGACATGAAAATATCGAAGCTAAGTCGGACCCTGATGTAGACCCTACACACATACATCGTAGGATTTGCAGTATAGGGAAGGGAAGCCGCCTAAACATTTTTTTTTGCAGTCTTGCAGCTCATAGGCTTCCTTTCAACTTTTTTGTTTAAGAATTTCTCCTAAACCCCAAACCCTAAGACACCATTTTGTTGAACCCAGCCTCCCCTAACCCCAAAACCCTCAAACACCCTAAAGCGTTCCGACCTTGCCTCGGAAAGGAAGCCCATGCCGCCTGGAACTGGTTCACCCGAAACACCACTAATCTAAGGGCCCTGAGTAATGAATATATGAATATATATATAGAGAGAGAGAGAGAGAGAGAGAGAGCTTCTT